CCCAGTCCACTCCACTATGCAGCTTTCATTCTGGACTCTTATCATGATAATAATACCTAACCATATTTTCCCCCTAAACAGTTCTCTCCTTCATCTGTTTCAATGCAGTATACATTATTCTTCCCTCTTTGTTTTCCCCATCTCCAACGTCAGTCCCACTTTACAACAGTGGCACTAAGCAATATTTGTCCTTTTATGACCGAGATATTTCACTCAGCATAATGTCCTCCAGGGTCACCCATTTTGTACAGTATTTATGAGTTCTTTGTTTTTCAATGCAGCTTAGTATTCCATTGTGTTAATATACCAGAGCTTCTCTGTTCGTTTGTTGATAGGCACTTGGGTTGTTTCCAATTCCTTGCTATTGTGAATAGAGCCTCAATAAGCATAGGTAATCATATAGTTCTGATATCTTTAGGGTATATTCCCAGTAGTGGAATTGCTAAAATGATATTTCTATTTCCAACTTTTTTTTTTTTTTAAATTTTGTGTACGTGTACCGTCAAATCAGATCTGACTGGTACAGGAGGATATTGCGCCTCCTTCTCCGGCAGAGCGTCTGGTGGATTCGAACCGTGTTCCTCTGGGATTGCAGTGCAGCTTCTTGCCACTAGGCCACCAGAGCTCCCCTATTTCCAACTTTTTGAGAAAGCACCATACTGCCTTCCATTTATTGTGTTTAATAAATGTTAGATTGGTGGTGGAAATCGATGACATTGTGCAAATCTAAGCCCCTGCTCCTCCTTGAAGTCTCTCTTGTTACGTCCACCCCTTCAGGTCCATCCCTTCACCAAACCTCCACTGCATTCCACAGTCAGTCATGTGATCATGCACTTCTTTTACTGCCCTGCGTTTTCAGCCCTGCCTAATTCTATGCCCAACTGAACTGGTGTGTGCTAAATTCGAGATCTGCAGTAATGAACCAGCCAAGGCTGTTGTAAGCATTCTTGCCCTTTAGTGAGTGACTGAGACAAGGCCACCCAAGACCTGGGTAGAGCGGGCTGGGACTACACACCGTGGGAGAGGGGATGTCTTGTTCTTGGGCTGGGCATCAGCTTTGCTTCTAGAACATCCAGAATTGGGCTCCTTTCTCCTGGCCTCACTCAGTCTCTGAAAAAGCAGGCATAGTATTCACAAATGAATACTGTAATACCTGTTCTTTCATGATTGATGTAGTTGTTGTTTGTACCATTGAGTCAAAACCAACACAGCCAATTCTCCAGTGGGCTTTCAGAGGCAGCTAATCACATGGGAGAAGATTGTTCATCCTGCTCCCACCATCCATGTCTCCTATACTGATGAGTAAAATGGGTTATAAGCATTATTAAGGATTCTGGTACAGGAGGAATCCATTGTTACTTATTACCAGTACATTGGTAATTTTACTGATTAACATTACTGAGGATTCTGGTGTGTGACCGGGAAGTGTGACCTCCTGCGTTACTGCCCGGGGTGACAGCTAGTGATACCACTGTTGGTATCCCTGATCTCATAGTCCTAGTGGGTGCTGGGCCTGCAAACCATACCACATGACACTGTCAGAGGGATGATGCCAAAATGAGTGCATGTAAAATTTTCTGCGCAGTGTTTCAGTGGAAATGTTTTATTCTTACATAAACCATCCCCATAGTTAGTTATTAACAGCAAAAAACATTTTTTGTAAACCCCTTGTCCATGTATCAACCTACCTGCAAGGATACACCTTTGTGCTAATTTTAATTTTTTAATTCTCTAATGCAGTCTGGCCTGAGCTATCATTACTACCCAATGGCATCGAGGCTTGGAATCATGTGATTCACCTGCACTCACTACAGGCACTTGATGTGGTTTTCATTGTTGCTGTAGTCACTGATTTTCTAGGATTTTCTGATGTTTTAGTTACAATGTTGTGGTAATTAGTATTTGCGAGCCTCCATAAATAATGTTTTGAGGATGAAACAGTAATTAAAGGGAAAGGAGAAAACTTTTAAAAGCATCTGCCCAGTTACTATAATGTCGTGACTAATAATGTAATTCAGTGTAGAAAGATTTTACCAAATAATCAGGTTACTATTCATATAATCTAAGAAATAGTACATATAAGCAATTTACTACTGTATTACCTATTATTTGAGGAATAAAATGGGTAATAAGCATTACCAAGGATTCTGGAACAGAAGTACATTATTAATTTACTGGGACGTTATAAAGACTTCTGACACCCATGGGGTGCTGTGACCCCGAGTTACTGCACCGGGTGACAGCAACCCTAGTGAGACCACTGGTTGTTCTCTTCTGACTTCGTAGTCCTTCCACCACCTTCTGGAGGAACAAGCCAATCTGAAGAGGACACTTCAGGAGCTACAGCAGCTGAAAAAGGAGCTCCTGAGTTCTCCAGAAGACAAGGTAAAGAGGGAGGGGTGTTGCTTGGTAGAAAGAGCTGAGAATTGAGAAGCTGTTTTCTTCACTCCTGGCTCTGCCTCCTTCCTTGCTGTGTGGCCTCAGCTGTTACTTCAAGGCTCTGAGCCTCAGTCTTCTCAGCTTGAACCACCTCCTGGGCATGTGGGAGGACAAAGCAAACGCTTGTGTTTAAATGCCTGGCCTGCATTCATGCAGCTCTTCTTTTGTAAAGGCGCTACATGTATTTTGCTATCAGCCCAAAGGGACTGCTTTCCTCTTGGGAGGGAGTAAGGGCCTCTCCCACCTTTTAAGCTGCACTGACTTCTCCTTCCCCAACTCCAGGTCTCAGTCCCACTGCCCAAGATCCCCTTGGTATTTCGAGGTCGCACTCAGCAAGGCAAGGAAGCACCCAAAGCATTGTTTTCCAACCTTCGCATCTCCTGCCCTCTGCCTGGAGGCTCTGCACTGGTCATTTTTGATGACCCTAAGGGTGAGCTGGAGAGATGGGGCACAACAAACCTCAGACCATGGACTGGAAAGCAATTCAGTGCTGATCCTGCTTCTCCCACCCAGTGGCCCAGCAGGTTCTGCAACAAAAGGTGCATAAGATCGACATGGAAGAGTGCTGGCTGAGGGTGCAGGTCCAGCCCTTAGAGCTGCCCATGGTCACTACCATCCAGGTGAGAGTGGCAGATCCTGGAATGTGCTGGGGGTGCCATGTACCTGGGCACACGATGCGGGGCTGTGCCAGGGACCTAACCCTCCCACCTTCCCTTTAGATGGCCAGTCAGATCAGCCTCCGCAGTGTGCTGGTCAGTGGATTTCCTGAGGGACTCCAGCTGAGTGAAGAGCAGCTGCTGGACAAGCTGGAGATCTTCTTTGGCAGGGCCAGCAATGGGGGTGGTGAGGTAGAGATTCGGGAAGTGCTTCAAGGGGGTGTCATGCTCAGCTTTGCCAAGGATGAAGGTAAGAGCCTTCTGGAGTAGTTTAGAATATGGGGTGAATAATGGAAAATTGGGTCCCAGAAGAGGAGGAGCCTTTGATGTCAAAGGTCCACCATTCCATCTTCTCCCAGTGGCCCAGCGTCTGTGCCAGATTGGAGAGTTCAGAGTGCCACTGGGCAAGCAGCAGTTCCTTCTAAGAGTCTCTCCTTACATGAGTGGGGACATCCAGAGAGCTGAGGTAAGCAAGAGGGTGGAGAAGGGGGTCTGGGTCAGGGTACCCTGTCAACCTACTAGAAACTTGGCCAAGGAATGCTCAGGATCCCCTAACACCCAGTGACCTGCACACTGCCAGCTTGTCCAATCTTCCCGATGGCTCTTGTGGTCTCATAGGCCCGTCTGTCCAGACTTCCGCCCCAGTTCTTTCCCTCACCAGCCTCTCTCTCACGGTTCTCTTCTCAGGTCTGTACTCGGCCAGTGCCCTGCTCAGTGGTGGTGTCCAACATTCCTGACATCCTGGAAGGCTCGGAGCTGCGTGATGTTCTGGAGATTCACTTCCAGAAGCCCACTCGTGGTGGCGGGGAGGTGGAGGCCTTGACTGTTGTGCCCCCTGGACAGCGGGGCCTGGCAATCTTCACCTCAGAGTTAGGCTAGGGGGCTGTCCTTCTGAGACTCTGACTCTCAGCCTCTTAGAAGGGCATCACCTTAGTGGATGTGTGTGAGAGAGACCTTTATGCTTATCACAGGGGGCAGGGATTAGCAGTTATGAAACACTGCCCCACAGCAGTAAAAGTGCCTGAGTGGCATGATGTTCTTCCTCATTTCATGAAAGGAAATTTGATTTGGGCCTGGAGTGGAGGGTGGGGGAGGGTGGAGGAGGCCAGAAGCCTTCTATCAGTGCTGGCTTTCCATGAGTTCAGCTTTTCCTCCACTCTCAGATGAAGCATCCAGAACCGGGGTTTGGCTTTTTATTGACACAAACACAAAGGCAGCTGCGGTAATGGGGTGGGGTACACAAAAGCAGAGATCGCACTTCACATTTAGGCCTCTCCCCCTCACCTCCCATTGGCAATGACTGGGGCAATAAACCTCCCTAACCCCAGCTTGGAAAGCAGAGGTATGACAGACACCCCTACTCTGGGAAGTCCCCACTTTGGCTCCAGCAGCCCAGGTCCCTACCCTCTTCCCTCCCTGTGCCAACTCCCCACCCATGTAAACAAAAGTTTGGGGCTGAGTTGAAAAAGCTGCCTCCCTGCTCTGAGAAGGCAGTGAAGCCTCCCTTGACAGCAAGGGGAATGTGCTTTGATTTTTAACTTTGGTCCCAGAACAAGACACAGACAGCACTGCCTCTCAAAGTCCTAGCTGATAAATGCCACACTTATCTGCAAGGCTGAGAAGCCTTCCCTGCCTCTTCCTCCTCAGCCACCGATAGAGAACTGACAGCCCCAGAGACAGGACAAGCACAGACCACAAGGAGGCGACTATTTTCGCCCTGGTCTGGGAGGCGAGGGCTCACCCCCCACCCACTGGCACATACACAGATTTTTGGCAGTGGTGTGGGACTGGGGCTGATGACACCCCAGCTCCACCAGAACAAGAAGGCACTGGGGGAGTTTGGGGTAGACAAGGCGGCAGGGACAAGGACTCCCCCATCATACAAGCATAGGTTTTTCCATTGCTAAGGCACTGAGAACAGATCCAGAGAACTCAGTGAAGGGGCAGGGTGGGGGAGCAGGTGTGGGTGTGTGTAGGGGTGGTTCTGGGTCCCTCCCACAGAGTTGTGACATAGGTGGGAGGTCTGATTCCCGCCTGTTTTGTGAGAGGCAACCTTGGCTAAGAGTGGTAGAAAACTGGAGGTGGAAAAAGCCCAATTGTGCTTAAGAAGTTGGGGACAGAGGAAGAGGCCATGCAAGAGTTCAGAGGTGGGGCGCTGGGGAGAGACGGGTATATGCTGGACTCATACAGACTGGCCCCCATGTCCTGAGCTGACAGTTCAATTCTTTGGGGAGGTGGTGGGGCGGGATGGGAGGGAGATGAGGCAGGGGCGGAAGCACACAGAACAGGACTGGGAGGGATTGGCTAACCTTGGCACAAAAGCAGCACAGCAGGCCCAGGGAAAGGGTGGGGGGCAGGAAGCATTCAGCCTCTCCTTGACCCTCCCTGTCCCCTTGGCAGGGCCCAGACATCCAAGTGATCACTTCCCAGCCTCTTCAGAAGGCAGGAAGGGGGAGGGGGCAGCCCTGACTAGTGAGACAGGGCAGGGAAGAGGTCATCACCATGAAGACCTTACAGGGAGAGGGCAGAGCACTATGACAGAAGATGAAAGGCGAGACTGGTGGTCAATAGAATGTGGCTTCCCAACTTCTCCTTTCCTGGGTCCCAAGGGCCCCTAGACCGTTGTCCTAGTTCTCCTTCTCTGGCCCAGGCACCAGAAGGACCTTGCCTATATTCCTTTTCTCTTGCATCTGCTTCATGGCATCAGCCACCTGGAAGGGCAAGAAGAAGAAAATACACTGTTCTCAAAGCCATTCACGCCGTACCGTACAAGAGCCAGCCCAGTTGCTCTCCTCGTCCTGGGAACCCAGCCTAAAGAAGTCCCATCCTGAGCCCTTCCTCCGAGCCAGCCACTTACCTTCTCGAAGGGCCAGACGGAGTCAATGTGGGGCTTGATGCGGCCCTGATTGTACAGAGCCAGCAGGCGGGCCACCACATTACTGACCAGCTTCACCTCGCCCTCCAGGTAACCCAGGTGGAAGCCGCAAACGGCCCGGTTGGCCTGCAGCAGCTGCAGCGCCGTCACACTGAACTGATTCCACCAGGTGCGGGCCATGGCCACCAGGTTCCTCTTGGGGCCTGTCAGCACGTTGGCCATTCCTGAGGGACGAAGCACATTCCAGCAAGTTTGCATCCATCATCTACAGCCTTCAGTCTGCTCAGTTACTCACAGTGGTGCCAGTGACAGGATCATCCTCAACCTGAGCTGATTCAAAAGCTGCTCCAACTTATACGTATTCACTGTTTGTGTGGAATTGTTTTTAAATGACAATGCAGCTTGCCCTAGAAACCCATAGGGGTATTCAGAAGGAGGCTTTCAGGAACAGTTCTCAAAAAGAGGTGCACAGAGGAAATAGAATTTACTATAATTGACCTGAAAAGTTGTAAAAGAGGACAGCAGCTGACAGCCAGAAGACAGTAACTTGATTTCCAATATATAGGGACTGTTCCCAACCCTGGTGCTTTGTCACTGGAAACCCTGGAGCCCTTTGTCCAATCTCTGACCTTCCCCCATCCTCTAAGACCGCTGTCCGTCCCCAGCCCACTAACTCACCATACGTGACGACCCTGCCCATGGGCTTGAGCAGGTTGTAGGCCTTGGCAGTGTCTGACCCGCCCAGAGGGTCCATGACGATGTCTACTCCTGCCACAGAGATGAGAAAGGGTAAACAGCTTTAGGATCCAAGGGTCTTCCCTCTCCTCCTGTCCTGTACCCCGCCCATGCCCTGATCTTCACCTTTAGGGGAGATCTTCTTGATCTCATTCACATAGTCACTTGTGTGGTAGTCGATGGGGTGTGTGACTCCATTCTCCTTCAGTACCTCGTGCTTGCTGGCAGAGGCCGTTCCAAACACGGTCACGTTCTCCACTGTGCGGCACAGCTGCAGGGCTGCGATCCCCACGCCCCCTGCAGAGACGCCCATAATGAGGAGAAGGAGCTGCCAGCTACCACTCCTAAATTAGCCTCTCAGAGACCCAGTCTAACCCTCATCTCGCTTCCCTCCCCCCATCCTATGTCCAATTTCCATGCCTGAGCATTGGGGGCAGGATGTGTGCAGAGGAGGGGGTGTTGGATGAGGGCACGATGATGATGAGATATGGTGAGCACACTAGGCAGGACCAGTGAACGTTACCACGGCAACAGCACTGCTGAGGCCTCTGGGCACCACAGGCCAAAGAAGCCTGGTGTTGCCATGACGACTGTCTAGCCAGGCTAAGGGAAAGGGGCCTAGAAGGAAATCTGGGTGGGGTGAGGCAGAAGATAAAGGGAAGGGCCCAGTCACCTGCAGCCATGTGTACTAAGACACTGTGGCCTGGCCTCAGGTTGCCGAAGTCAAAGAGAACCATGTAGGCTGTGATATAATTGACCAGCAAGGCTGCTGCTTCCTCAAAGGTCATGGCCTCAGGCATCAGGTAGGTCTGGGCTGAGGGCACAGTCACCTCCTCCTGCCACATCCCTGATCGGATCAGCACCATCACCCGGTCCCCTTCCTTAAAGAATGGAAGAAGAACATTAATCCAGTCATTCAGTCATCGGAGGCGATTTACAACCCTTCCACTAGGTACAAAGTCCTCTCCTTGGTGATAAAGTCATGGTACTAATAATACCTAATAACATTAACAACAGAAACAAAATTTACAGAGGGCCAGGCCCTATTTTTTTGTTAGGCCTGATTTTTAATGTTGCATATGTAAGTGTACACCTAATCTTTACACTCGCTCTTGGAGATAGATACTATCCTTATCTCCACTTGACAGATCTTCTATTTGGTGATTGTGTAAGATTCCTGAGCACAAGAAGCTTACAGTTAGGGCAGCATGAAATAGTCCGGAAGAAGTCAACCCCTTCAGTTCCAAATCAGGCTCCACCACTTCTTACTGGTGGTGTGACCTGGAGCAAATGGAAATTCCTTAACCTTTCCTCATTTAATGTCGTTAAGATAATTAAATGAAAAAGATAATCATTTAATGAGTTTGGCACTATGTCTGGCACCTAGGAAGTGCTAGGTAATGTGATAACAGCAAGGAGGGAAAGTCACACAATCCAAGTGAAAGCAGAGACGTGAGGCCATGGAGTAAGTGCTCTGTGAGTCCAGTGCTAGGCATGGTCATCTCATCTGCTGGAGAAGCTGCCAACATTGGAGGCCAAATAAACACCTTCCCTCAGAGATGGCCAAGTGGCCTGGTCACACCCACCTGGGGAAGGCTATTGGAACCTCACCTCTCAGCCACCTGTAGGACAGAGGCAAAGGTAACAGAGCCTTTCCCTCCAGCTTAGCAACTAGGGCATGAGAAGGGCATGGAAGGGAATCTCAGGAGAAAGGAAGGCTCTCCAGGGAGGGAGGTGTCCATACTGCTCCAGGACAATCCGGGTCTGTCTTGGTCTTTGCTGAGCATGACAGGATTCTGTGTATTAACAAGACTTAGGATTCAGGGGACAGGGAGATAAAGACTCCCTCTCTTTCACTCTACCCAAGAGGATCACTGAGGGCTGGGATCTTTCCCAAGAAGGCCTGGCCTAATGATGAGTCTGAGGAATGGATCTCCCACCCTAGGACTCAGGGGTTAGCCGACTCAGAAAGGACCTGGGCATGGCAGGGAAGGGGGCAGTGGCTGGTTGTGCCAAGATTTGACCCAGAATAAGTCTCACTTGGGCTGTCACTCAAAGGCTGGGCTATGCCTCCTCCACAGCCCTAACATCAGGAGGGTGGGAGGCCCTCCTCCCAGAATCCAGCCTCTTACATCAGATTCGGGCCCCAGGCCCTGGACAGGATATCCTGTATTTACCCGGCGGAAAGAGTGGGGAGGGGGAGGTCAGGTGGGTGGCCTTCAGCAGGAACTGGGGCTGTAATTCCCCCAAAGAAATTCCTGTTAGCATTTTCCCCAAGAGTGAAGTTCTTTTTAAAAGAGTGTAGAGGGTGGGGCTGGAGCTGAATTTGGGGAGAACCCCTTTAAGGAGGAGCTGTTTGCGTGTACAAGAAATCCAGTTGAGTTTGGTCTAGTCTTCAGGCAAGAGGAAAGCTGCATCAGAAGCGGCATTTGAGGGGCCTCTCTTGCTTAGAAGGGCCAGACTTTTTAAAAAATGACCTGCATTTGTCTCATTCCTGAGCTCTCAAAAAGTTGGTCCTTTGGGACTCCGTTGTGTTCAAGATTAATGATAAATGGAAAGGAAAGAAACAGACCGGCAGAGCAGGGCCAACCTGCTCATGGTGCCACTCGTCCCCACCCCTTTCTAAAGGAACACAACCGGGTTTCCGAGGCAGGAGTCCTCCACGAGGAAGGCAGTCTCGAGTTACAGCGAAGGTAGCCCACGGGGTCGAAAGCCGCCGGCTGAGTCACGGGAGGAGGAGATACTGCAGTCACGGGAGCCCGAGACAAAGATCCGGAGCACCGATCTCACCTCCCCCACCCCAGAGGAAGGCAGCTGGCGGGGGGACGCGGGCCCCACTCCCCTTTGATGGGCGTGCCCGTCTCTTTAGCGCTTTTCGGGGAGGGGCCGCCTCACACCCCCACAGACCACGGGGCTGCATGTGACTCGGACTCTGGCATGGCCGCTGCATCCCCGCCCAATCCCGACCGCACAGCTTCTCCAGCTCCCTCCCTCGGGGAAAAAGGGCGCTGGCTGTCACTGTGGGTCACCGACCACAATAACCTAGGGAGGGTTTTGGTGGTCTAGGGTACAGGTGTGGCTTTACTAAACTGGGGAGGTGGGTGTTAGGGTCACTATGCGCATGCGCGAGGGCGCCTTATTGTTTCTTCCACCCCCTCCCCGCTTCTGGGCGGTGGCTTCAGCTAACAGGGTTGGGGAGGGGGCGAGAAATCCATTCTTTCTTGCGCCCAATTCAGTTCTCCAGGAATGTCAGAACATAGGATCTTTTCCCGCGTTTGCCATCCCTGTCCACCCGAGTCCGAACCACTTTCCCCCGCCTGCCACACCCCCGGCACCGCCCATTCGTGCCCACCTGCCCCTTAGCCGGTGCAGCTCATTCTACCCGGCCACTCCGTCCTCGCCCTTGCTCGCCTGCTCACCTTGCGGTCGGTGACTCCCTCACCCACGGCAGTCACGACGCCCGCGCCCTCCATGCCTGGGGTGACGGGCAGCGGCGGCAGCCGGTCGTACAGTCCCTGCCGGGCCATGAGGTCAGCGAAGTTGAGCCCGCAGGCCCGGACACGCAGTGTCACCTGGCCGGGACCGGGGGCCGGGGGTGCGGCGGGCCGGCTCTGCAGTTTCACCTTGTCATAGCCACCGAAGCCGGTGAGCACCAGGAAGCGTAGTGGTGGCGGCGAGGTGGCGGCAGCTCCCTCCGGAGCTACGGGCGGCTCAGGGGAGCCTGCTTCCTCGGCTTTCGGGGGCTGCGAAGAGGTGTCTTCCCCGGCCCCTGCCTCGGCTGCCACCACCACGGTGGCGGCCTCTGCTGCTTCTTTCTCGGCGGACATGACTTGGACTCCCGACGTTCGTGCACAGCTGGACCGAGGTGCACAGCTGGGGAGGGCGGGGCGCGCGTCTGGAAATGCTTTGCCTGCAAGAGCAGGGCGAACCGGGAAGGGCTCGGCGTCGCGCTGGGGGCGGAGTCAAGGGCGGGGTCTCGAGCGCGGGCTTAAAGGGCAAGAGCTGAAGCTGCAGTCAGGCGGGAATGCGAAAAGTGGGCTGCAGAGTCAACCGTCTACAGTAGACATTCGCGCGGGCATTCTTAGAGGTTATGTGGGCTGCTATTTATTTTACCAAGATAGACCCATGCAGATTAAAAAATAATAAAAAGAGTAATCTGAAAAACAATCTCAAGACCAATATCAGATTTGAGAAGTCAACCACCTGTGGACCAGAACTTAACCAGGTTGTGTCCTAGGCTCTGGCTCTCCTTATGAAACCCGGGAAAAAAAGAGTGGTTTTGCAGAGGGAGGCTGAGAGGCTGGAGACTGGGTCTTTAAAGGTTTCCTTTTTATTGGAGCTCTGGTGGCCTAGTGGCAAGAAGCTGCACTGCAATCCCAGAGGAACACGGTTCAAATCCACCAGACGCTCTGCCAGAGAAGGAGGCGCAATATCCTCCTGTACCAGTCAGATCTAATTTGACGGTACACGCACACAAAGTAATAAAAAATTAAAAAAAAAGGTTTCCTTTTTATTTTGGTTGCTAATGCTCTGTGCCTCAATTTTCCTTTCTGTAAAATGATGATAGTAGTGTTTGTTTCATCAACTGTTATGAGGTTGTTTAGAACAAGATAAAATTAAATAAAGGCTAAGGATGCGCCTTAAAATTGTAAAAGATATTTTGCAAGAAAGTGGCTTAATTATTGTCAGCCTCTGGATCAAGCCATTTAGGACTTGGCTCTGACTCCAGAGGGTTGTCACATTGAGCAGTTTCTAACCTTTGTTTCTCTCCATTTCGGCCTCCCCGAAGCATCCACCAGAGGACGCACCTCCTTCAAAACTTTCCACTCGGCAGGAGGACTCAGTCCAAGCTTCTTTGCTAGTCCAGGCCCTCCTTGAAGTCACCGCAGTCCCCACCAGGCCACCCGTTGCCATGAGGACAGAAAGCTATGATGTCACCACTGTCTACTGGGTGTGTTGGAGTCTGATATCTCGATTTCACCAAGACCCCTTTCTGGGACATGGAGGCGGGAAAGGGAGATTCTCTCCTCCCCCTGCCATGTGGCGCCCTCTTGTGTTTAAGAAGTGGATGGCTGCCCCCGCACGTGTCCGGAGTGGCACTCAGACGTGCACGCGTGGGCACACAGAAAGCCAGAGTTTCACGCATGTGCTGCCCCAACCCTACCCCTCAGATCATTGCCCTAAGTCTTCCCCTCCTTCATCCCCAAGAAGTCCTACAAGCCAAATAAGTGTGGCTTGTTCAGCCTCAGCCCCCGCAAGGGTCTCCTTGGGGCTCTCCAGTGAGCTTTAACCCTACACCACACTGGGCTTTCCTCTAGGCCCCGCCCACTTCCCTGGCTCCGCCCCGGACTGCGCGGGTGGGAGGCGGGGCTGGGGGCG